CCCCCCCCCCTAGGTGTCTCCTTTTGCGGTGTATAGGCAGCTATAGTGTCTCCTTATTAGACAATTTATATATTTATTTTATTTTATTTATATATATAAACAAGAAAGGAGAGAAAAATAAATAAATAAATAAATAAATAAATAAATAAATAAATAAATAAATAAATATATAAAAAGGAGACAGGAGGAATTGCTGCTGTCTTTATAGTTATAGTCAATAGTTGTATAGTGTATAGAGGCATCTGCTGCTGCTGCTGCTGCTGCTGCTGCTGCTGCTGCTGCTGGACACACACACACACATAAGCAGCTAGCGGCAGCTGTCTGCCCTCGTGCTGCAGCTAGCTGCTGCAGCACAGCAGCAGCGGTCCGCTGCAGTATAAGTAGCTATAGATCTCTGCAGCTAGCTGGCGCCAGTTGCCGCTAGCTAGCTGCAGCTAGCTAGCTAGCTACAGCTAGCTAGCCACGGCTAGCTGAACAGCTAGCTACACAGCTAGCTACGGCAATACAGTGTACCTCTAGCTAGCTGCAGCTAGCTATAGCTAGCTAACTAGCTAATAGCTAGCTATACGGCTAGCTAGCTAGCTATACAGCTAGCTAGCCAGCTATAGCTAGCTAGCTAGCTAGCTAGCTAGCTAGCTAGCCATGGCTAGCTATAGACAGAGTGTGTCTCCTAAGACAGTAATATAAGAAGAGAAGAAAATAAAAGTGTGGGGTTTCAGGTGTATAGGCAGGTTGAATTACTGCTGCTGCTGCTGCTGTTGCTGCTGCTGCTGTGGCAGGGGGGAGGGTTTGCTGCTGTTGCTGCTGCTTCTTAGGGTTTATTTTTTATTTATTTATTTATTTATTTTTATTTAATTAATTAAATAATAATTTATTTTATTTATTAAATAAAAATAATTTATTATTTTGTCTAGGGAGCAGCACTAGCAGCAGCAGCACTAGCAGCAGCAGTAACAGCAGCAGCAACGGGGCTGCTGTGCCAGTAACAGCAGCAACAGCAACAGCCGCAGCGGCGGCGGCGGCAGCAGCAGCAGCAGCAAGGACGCCTTGTGCTGCAGCATGCATGCGCTTTGTGTCTTGTGGTGTATTTATCAGCAGCAACAGCAGCAATTAATTATTATTTGCTTCCTCCTTAGACGTCGTCTTATGCTAAGCAGCAGCAGCAGCAGCAGCAGCAGCAGCAGTAGCAGTAGTAGCAGCCGTTGCAGCAGCAGTAGTAATAAGTAGTAGTAAGTAGTAGCAGTAGCAGCAGCAGCAGCAGCAGCAACAGTAACGCATGCTGCTGCTGTTGCATGTATTTGTTTGTGCTGCTGCTGCTGCTGCTGCTGCTGCAGCCGCTGCTGCTGCTTCCCTAGCATATTAAGCAGCAAATAGTCCTTATATATTCATATAATATATTCAGGTGTATGTACACCTCATTCATATAAATATTTATTTTATTTATTTTATTTATTTTGTTTTTTTTTCTTCTTTTTGTCTTTTTTTTATTTAAATAAAAAAATAAAAAAAGGAGCAGCAGCAGCAGCGGCAGCAACAAGGTAGAGGCTCGGCTGCATGCGTGGGGACGCCACGCTGCAGCAGCAGAAGCAGTAAAAGCAGCAGCAGCAGCAGCAACTGTAGTAACAGCAGCAGCAGCAGCAGCAACTGTAGTAATAGCAGCAGCAGCAGCAGCAACTGTAGTAACAGCAGCAGCAACAGCAGCAGCAGCAGCAGCAGCAGCAGCTGGTCTGGATCAGGCCGCCTTGGTTGCTTAACCTCATCATCTACCGTTAGCGGGAGCAGCAGCAGCAGCAACAGCAGCAACAGCAACAGCAGCAACAGCAGCAGCAACAACAACAACAAAAGCAGCAGCTCCTTCTATGTATATCTGTTTGCATGCATTTGCTGTTGGCTACCAGGCAATGCATGCAGAAGACTCTAAACCCTAAACCCTAAACCCTAGTTGGATGCAAGCAGGTAGCAGCAGCAGCAGCAGCAGCAGCAGCAGCAGCAGCAGCAGCAATGAGTGCGTTCTTAGATTTCTTTAAGGCGGAGGTCTTAGGAAGAGGAGAAGTTGGCGGTGTATCCGCAAAGCAGCAGGTAAATAGACACACACATAGCAGCAGCAGCAGCAGCAGCAGCAACAGCAGCAGCAGCAACAGCAGCAGCAGCACCTTTCCTGCTGCTGCTGCTGTCGTTTTTTATTTCTTTATGCTGCTTTTTGCATGCGTTTTGTGTCTTATAGACATAATCTTATATATATGCTCATTCTCCTCCTCCTCTGCTGTTGCTGCTGCTGCTGCTGTTGCTGCTGCTGCTGCTGCTGCTGCTGCTGCTGCTGCAGATAGAGGCATTAGGGCGTGTAGGCTTATTATGCCAAGTACTAGGAGCAGCAAGGACACGACGTTTGCTGCTGCCGCTGCTGTCTGAGCTGCAGCAGCAAACAGATTATTGTGACGAAGTATTATCCTTATTTGCTGTACAATGGAGAGCAGCAGCAGCAGCAGCAGCAGCAGACACAGCAGCAACAGAAGAAGAATTAAGAGAAGCTATTTGCTGCGCTGCTGATGCATTACTTATACTTGCTGCAGCAGAAGAAAAATGTGTACGTAATGAGGTAAGATATACTCCCTTTGCTGCTGCTGCTGCTGCTGCTGTTGTTGTTGTTGCTGCTGCTGCTGCTGCTGTTGGTGCTGGTCCTGTTGCTGCTGCTGCTGCTGCTGCTGCGGTGTTGGTGGATGGTCTAAGTGCATGCATGCAATGCATCCATCACCATGGCAAAGAACAATACAGCAACAGCAGCAGCAGCAGCAGCAGCAGCAGCAACGGCAGTAGGAGAACTATACACAACAGCAGCAGCACGACCAGCAGCAGCATCAACAACAACAATAACAACAGCAGCAGCAGCAGCAGCAGCAACAGGAGGAGGAGAATGTGTATGTTATGCATGCAGGCAATAAAGTCTATATTATCTTTATTAAGTTTGCTGCCTATACACTCGAGGTTGCTGCTGGTGCAGCAGCAGCTGCTGCCTGTCTCCTTCTCTCTTGCTGCTGATGATGGTTGTCTCTTTGGTCGTTGTGCTGCTGCTAGGCTGCTGCCTCATCTGCTGCAGTATGCAGAGATAGATCCACCTGCTGCTGCTGCAGCAGCAGCAGATGCAGATGCAGCAGCAGATGCAGTAGCAGGTGCAGCAGCAGAAGGTGCAGCAGCAGCAACAGCTGCAGCAGCAACAGGAAGAGGATCTCCGCCAAAGAGGGAGGTGCAGAATGAATCTGCTGCTGCTGCTGCTGCAGCAGCAGCAGCAGCAGCAGAGAAGGAAGAGGAAGAAGAAAAGGATGGAGAAGGAGAACGATATACAACAAAACGTATTGAACAGTCAGCAAACCCTAAACCCTAAACCCTAAACCCTAATCTTCTCCTACGGTCTTATAATAACCCTTCTGCTGCTGCTGTTGCTGCTGCTTCTATGCTGCTGCTGTTGTTGTTGTTGCTGCTGCTGCTGCTGCTGTTATGTGTGTGTCTTCCCATCACCCTTTTCTTATAAAGGGTTTACATGACCTACTAATAATATTTAGGGTTTAGGGTTTAGGGTTTAGGGTTTAGGGTTTAGGGTTTAGGGTTTAGGGTTTGTGTGTATAGGGTTTTTGAGGGTTTATGTAGTGATGAATCTCTCTTAGTAAGAAGAGAGGCACTGCAGCAACTGCCTGCATTAGTAGAGGGGGCAAGAGCAGCAGCAGCAGATGCAGCAGCAGCAGCAGCAGAAGCAGCAACAGCAACAGATACAGAAGCAGCAGATAATGCTGCTGCTACTGCTGCTGCTGCTGCAGCTGCTGCTGACGAAGTTGCTGCTGCTGCGCTACGCATATTAAAAGGAGCATTAGGAGAAACATCTGTACGTCCTGCTGCTGTTGCTGCTGCTGCTGCTGCTGCTGCTGCTGCTGCTGCTGCTGCTGTTGCTGCTGCTGTTGCTGTCTGTCGACCGCAGCAAGTCTTGCATGTGTGTTGTTGCTGTTGCTGCTGCTGCTGCTGCTGCTGCTGCTGCTGCTGCTGTCTCCTTGTGTCTCCTTAGGACTATCTGCGTGCTGCAGCAGCAGAGGCTGTTGCTTCTCTTTGTTCTTCTTGGCCATTAACAGATATTGATGATGATAATGATGCAGCAACAGCAGCAGCAGCACCTGCTGCTGCTGCTGCAGCAGCAGCAGCAGCAGATTCGCAGCAGCAATCTCCTAGCAGTTCAAAGTCTGGGGGACAAGAGGCATCATCTCCCTCCCCTGCCTCCAGCAGCAACAGCAGCAGCAGCAGCAGCAGCAGCAACAGCAGCACCAGCAGTAGCAACAGCAGCAACAGCAGCAGCAACAGCAGCAGCAGCAGCAGCAGCAGCAAGGCTTCCTTTGAGTCTTTTTTATCCTTATTTAATATGTCAGCAAATGATCCATCATGGAGAGTTCGTGCTGTTGCTGCGCAGCAGCTTCCTGCTGTTGCTGCTCGTTGCTGCAGCAGCAGCAGCAGCAGCAGCAGCAGCAGCAGCAGCAATAAGATTAAGAAGAACAAGAAGAAAGAGAATAGATCAATAGATAGCTTATATTCATCCCTGTGTCTGCTGCTGCATGACCCTGCTGCTGCTGAGGTCCGATTAGCTGCTGTTAATAGTATAATTAAGTTAGTAGATCTATTAAGGGAGGAAGAAATAAATAAATTATTTATTCCTTTTTTTCCTTATTTACTTCGTGCTGCTGTACAACAATATAATAATAAATATTATACACCTAATTCTCCTGCTGTTGCTGCTGCTGCTGCTGCTGCTGCTCCTTCATCCTCTTCTTTAATTGAGGTCGCTGCAGCAGCAGCAGCTGCTGCTGCTGCTTCTCATCCTAATGCTAATAATAGTGCTGCTGCTGCTGCTGCAGCAGCAGCAGCAGCAGCAGCTAGTGTTAATCATCCTAATGCTGCTGCTGCTGCTGCTGCTGCTTCTGCTATTACTCCTGCTGCTGCACTTACACCTACATGTAATATGCATGCAGCAGCACTTGATGCTGCTGTTGCTGCTGCTGTTGCTGTTGCACAAAAAGCATCAGCAGCAGCAGCAAAAAATATACTCAGGGATGTCCTTCTTATGCTGCAAGGAGGAGATGCTGCTGTTGCACTCAGGTACCCTCCTGCTGCTGCTCCTGCTGCTGTTGCTGCTGCTGCTGCTGTTGCTGTTGCTGCTGTTGTAGTTGCTGTTGTTGTTCAAGGTGTCATGTTACCAGCAGTCTATTTTGCTGCCTCTCCTTGCTGCTGCTGCTGCTGCTGCTGCTGCTGTTGGGATCTATGGTGTCTTATATACTGCTGTTTCCTGCTGCTGCTGTATGCTGCTGCTGCTGCTGCTGCTGCTGCTGCTGTTGTGTGTCTTAGCATATCTAAATATCTTCAAGACTTTTGTCGTTTATCTCTTCGTATAGACAAACGCAGCAGCAGCAGCAGCAGCAGCAACAGCAGCAGCAACAGCAGCAGCAGCAGCAGTGGGGGCGGTGGGAGCGTTGACGGCAGCACAGACGGTGGCAATAAGCCTGCCATAAGCAGCAACCCAACCAGCAGCAGCAACAGCAACATCAACAGCAGCAGCAGCAGCAGCAGCAGCAGCAGCAGCAGCAGCAGCAGCATGAGTACACCTACAGAAGCAAGACAATTAGTTGAATGTCTTTGTGATTATTGGAGACAAGGAGGACAAACAGGAGATTGGAGACTTCGTCTCTCTCTTGTACAACAAATGCCAGCTGCAGCAGAAACACTTGTAAGGGTTTAGGGTTTGCTAGGGTTTAGGGTTTAGGGTTTACTAGGGTTTAGGGTTTAGGGTTTATTAGGGTTTAGTAGGGTTTAGGGTTTAGGGTCTATTAGGGGATTTATTAGGGTTTAGGGTTGGAGACTTCGTCTCCCTCTTGTACAACAAATGCCAGCTGCAGCAGAAACACTTGTAAGGGTCTAGGGTTTAGGGTTTACTAGGGTTTAGGGTTTAGGGTTTAGTAGGGTTTATTAGGGTTTAGGGTTTAGGGTTTATTAGGGTTTATTAGGGTTTAGGATTTAGGGTTAGAGACTTCGTCTCACTGTTGTTGAACAATTGCCCGCTGCAGCACAAACACTTGCAGGTGTCTAGGGTTTAGGGTTTATTAGGGTTTAGGGTTTAGGGTTTAGGGTTTATATATATAAAGTACACATATAAACACAATATTAAATAGAAAAAACATCTAAATAAAATAAATAAAATAAATAACTAAATTAATTAATTAATTAAATTTATTTATTTATTTATTTATTTATTTATTTATTTATTTATTTATTTATTTATTTATTTATTTATAGGGTGCAGATTTTTTTATAAAGTTTTTTTCTTCTCTTTTCTTGGATGCAATTTTTGATCAAATTCATCAAGTTCGTGCTGCTGCTATACATGCATGCAAGGTATGCTGCTGCTGCTGCTGCTGCTGCTGCTGCTGCTGTTGCTGCTGCTGCTGCTGTTGCTGTTGCTGCTGCTGCTGCAGTTACCTGGACGACAAGGGGACTTCCAAAGGAGACATGTTTGGCTATGCCTTTGTTAGGAGACCCAGGGCCGCTGTTGAGTCGTTCTGCTGCTGCTGTCTCTTGCTGCTGCTGCTGCTGCTGCTGTTGCTGCTGCTTCTGCTGCTGCTGTTGCTGCTGCACCTGTCTAGGCCATCCGCCTGGCAAGAACTGCAGGGGAGGGGCAGTACGCCTCGCGGGGATCGGCAGCAGCAGTTGCTGCTCCTCTGCTGCTGCTCGAGGTCCCTGTTGCTGCTGCTGCCGCCGCTGCTGCTGCTGCTGCGGCTGCTGCTGCTGCTGCGGCTGCTGCTGCTGCTGCATTTCAATCTGCTTAGGACAGCACACACTCGGTAGGAGTGGCCGTGCGTAGGCAGATGTCACCCGCTGCTCCTGGTTGCTGCTTCCTGCTGCTGCTGCTGTTGCTGTTGCTGCTGCTGCTGCTGTTGCTGCTGCCGCCGCTGCTGCTGCTGTGGGGAGACAGGCATCTACGTCTCCTGTGTCTCCTTCTAGAGGAGACACAAAGCAGCAGCAGCGGCGATTTCTATTTGCTGCTGCTGGTGTCTGGCCGTGTCTGCTGTTCTTGCCAAGGTAGCTGTTGCAGCAGCTGCTGCAGTTGCTGCTTTTGTTGTTGCTGCTGCTTTTGCTGCAGCTGCTGCTGTTGCTGCTGCTGCTGCTGGCAGCAGCAATTGGGAGCCACGGGGTATGTGGGGTAGAATCCCTCTCTATAGATCCTTCTGCTGCCTTCGTGCTGCAGCAGATGAGGCCTTCTTCTTCATCTGCTGCTGCTGCAGCAGCAGCAGCTGCTGCTGCTGCCTTCACTGCTGTTGCTGCTGCTGCTGCTGTTGCTGCTGCTGCATGCCTAGTAGGTGGCAAGGCGGTGGGGCTTAAAGGGGTCGCCTCGCCTGCTGCAGCAGAGAGACAATGCTCCCTCACATCTGCTGCTGCTGCTGCTGCTGCTACTGCTGTAGGAGTTCCTGCTGCTGCTGCTGCTGCTGCTTCTATTGGAGAGGAGAAGGCAGGAGGGGAGAAGGGGTCCACCACAGAGGAAACCTGCTGAGGACTGCTGCTGCTGCTGCTGCTTCTGCTGCTGCTGCTGCTGCTGTCTGCTGCTGTGCTTGCTGAATGGAGGCGCACAAGAGACGGATTCCCTTGGCAGCAGAAGCAGCAGCTGCTGCTTGTGCTGCTGCTGCTGCTGCTGCTGCTGCCTGCTACTGCTGCCTCGTGGAGACAGTAGCTGCTGCTGCACCTAGCAGGAGAGCCAACAGCAGCACCATCTGCATGCACGCAGCAGATGCTGCAGCTGCTCTCTTTGCTGCTGCTGCTGCTGCTGCTGCTCCTGCTGCTGCTGCTGCTGCTGTGGCATAACGCTGCTGAGGCAGCAACAGACTCTGCTTCAGGCATTCTCTCTTCTGTTGCTGCTGCTGCTGTGGTGCTGCTGCTGCAGCTGCTGCTGCAGCTGCTGCTATTGCTGTTGGGAGCGGATGCTGTATAGCCGCTTGATCTGCTGCCCGTGGGACAAGGAATATAGGCAGCAGCAGCAGCAACAGCAGCAGCAGCAGCAACAGCAGCAAGGAGAATTATGTATTAAGGGGATGTTAAGCAGCAAGTAACAGCAGGATATTCAGGTGTACGCACACCTAAAGGTTCACGGGGGGCGGCCTGTATGCTCGCAGATCCCTTTTGCTGCTGCTGCTGCAGCAGCAGCTGCTGCAGCAGCTGCAGCTGCTGCAGCTGCTGCAGAGGGTTGAGGTCAAAAGAAGGAAGGAAACAGCAGCAAACCGTGAAAGTGCGCAGCAAGAGTTGTTATTCAGGTGTATGTACACCAGGATATGCAGCTCACGCGTCGGGTAGAGCAGCAGCAGCAGCAGCAGCAGGAGTAACAGGAGTAGCAGCGAGAGCAGCAGCAGCAGCAAGAGCAACAGCAGCTGTGGTGTATACAGCTAATTGCCTTAATAGGAGGCAAAAGGGGCCTTCAGGAGACACCATGGGATCCGTTGCTGCTGCTGCTGCTGCTGCAGCAACCCCCGCCTAAGCACACACGTCGTGCAGCCGCTGGGGGTTGACGGTGCTGCTGCTGCTGCAGCAGCAGCTGCTGCTGCTGCAGTTGCTGCTGTGGCCCCACAAGACAGTAACACTTATATAAATAACTACTGGTATTTTATTAGATAAACATATAGGCAATATTAATACTAAGGAAGGCTGCATGCGTCTAATAAAGAAAGGAGAACTCCCTTGCTGCTGCTGCTGCTGCTGCTGCTGCTGTGAGGTGTACATACACCGCAGCCGCTCACACAACTAGAGATGGAAGGCTCCCTGTATTCCTTCTTCTTTTTGCTGCAGCAGCAACTTCCTTTATATATTTATTTAATTAATTAATTCTTTTAATTAAATATTTTAATTTAATTAAATAAAAAATAAGGAAAAACAAATTATATAAACGGTGCACGATTAGTCGTGCAATAATCTGCTGCTGCTGCTGCTGCTGCTGCTGTTGCACGCCTCCTCTGAGGAGCAACAGTGAGGTGTCTGCGCAGCTGTTTTTACTCATTTTTTTGCCATTTTTTCTCGTTTTTCTATTTTTTGTGAGCTAAAAAATTAAATAAATACATTTAAATTAATATTTCTGCATTTTTACCACCGAACAAGCCGCAGAAATACTCCATTTTGCCTTCTCTGTGCCCCTCAGCGGTGTTCCGTTTACTGCACGTGGTTCTCTGCATACAGCTGTAAAAGAAGCAGAAAATAGCCATTTAATCAGCAATAAATGAATAAAATATTAACTAAAAGAATATATAATTAAATTAAATTAATTTAATTTAATTTAATTAAAAAAAAAGAGAAAAAGGAAGCAAAAAGAACCCCCAAGTTTAACCGTTGTGGGGCGGCGACGACGAGCACCAGACTTGCAGCAAAAGCAGCAAATATTGGGGTGTATAGGCAGCTAATATTGAAATATTTTATATTTAGTAAATTAATTACTTTATATTTTATTTAGAGGAAAAAAGAGAGTATTTTATCCTTTTATTTTTCTGTTTGTATCATTAGTATATTCAGGTGTATAGGCAGCTACTAGATCTTTATAAGTAAAGATCTGCATGCATGCACGCATGCATGCATGCATGCATGCATGCTGCTGCTGCATGCGTTTCTTTTGCTTTTTTTGCATGCATGCAGACCTGCTGCTGCTGCTGCTGCAATTATTAAAAAAAATTAATTATACAGTGTATTTGCATGCATGCAGCATCTAACTACTATTTGTTTTTTTTTTTTGTCTATAGATAATAAATATATAAATATAATAAATATTATTAATTAATATAAATAAATACTACAAATTATTATTAAGGGGGAAAAGAAGAAGAAAAGAAAAAAAGAATAAATAAATTAAATAAGTAACCCCTATGGGTAATTAAAATTATAAAGGGGACAAACAGCAGCGCAGCAGCAGCACAATTCGCTGCTGTTGCTGCAGCTGCTGCTGCAGCAGCAGCTGCAGCAGCTGCTGCAACAGCAAAACTATAGCGCATGCAAGACCAATACAGCCCCATTTGCTGCATGCACTGCAACACAGCAAACAGTCTGCATGCATGCAACAGCAAACAGTTACACTACAATAAACTGCTGCTGCTGCTGCTGCTGCTGCCTTTGCTGCTTGTGCTGCTGCTGCTTCCTCCTCGGCAGCAGTTGTCTGCTGCATAGAGTTACTGTGTGCTGCTGCGCATGCAGCAGCACTCTGCTGCTGCAGATGCAGCAGCAGTTTGCTGCTGCGCATGCAGCAGCAGTTGTAGGGTGTCTCCTCAAGCCATGCAAAAAAATGTCTCCTTTTTTTATTTTCTCCTTTTTTTTGTCTCCTTTTCTTTTTTTATTGTCTCTTTTTATAGGTGTCTCCTTTTATTTCTTATTGTCTCCTTATTTAATTGTCTCCTTTTTTTATTGTCTCCTTTTTTTTTGTCTCCTTTTTTTATTGTCTCCTTATTTATTTAATTGTCTCCTTTTGTATATTTTGTTGTTTTTCTCCCCAAGGAAAGGAAGACTTAGGAGAAGTTATCTTCTCTATTTCCTCTATCTATAAGGAGACAACAAAAAAGGAGACAAAAAAATAATTAATTAATTAATTAATTAATTAATTAATTAATTAATTATATTTATTGACATATTAATAAATAAATAAATAAATAAATAATAAAATAAAAACAACAGAATAACAACAGCAGACAACAAAAGGAGACACCACCACCACCAGCAGCAGCAACAGCAGCAGCAGCAGCAACAGCAGCAGCAGCAACAGCAGCAGCAGCAGGAGCGTACATTTTCTTCAATATGATGACCAAATTCTTCGCCATATTTCCTTTTTG